CGGCGAGGCGGCGCGGGTGGGGGCTGCCAGGCCAGGCCAGGCCAGGCGTCGTTTCTCAGCGGTTTTCCGTTATTTATTTTCCGTTATTTTCCGTTACCGCCGCGCGGGCCTGCGCCTCTGGCGCTTTCGCTGCGCCCCTCTGAGCAGGGTCCGGCCCCGACGTCTCTGTAACCGCTTTGGGCAGCGGCAGATGCAGCTAGGCTGCTCTGTGCCTCCTCGTCTCCGGGCCGGAGATCCTTTTGCGGCGCGCCGCAGCACAGGGGCCCCTGCTGCCGCCGGTGTTTTTTGGCAGTCGCGGTGATAGGATGCCCTGTGCTTTCATCCCGTTCACACGTGATGCCGCCACGGTGAGCGCTTGCTATCCTGGGCACCGTTCACAGGGACCTTGACGGGCTGGAGAATTAAGCGCGAGGGAACGTTAGAAAAAGGAGCGCAGGCCCAACGTTGCATTACCTGCGCCGGGGACAGGAGAACCCAAGCAATTGCAGAGGCTGCGGGATGGCCGGCAAGAAGGCAGCTTTGTAGAAAGGGACCTGGTGGACGGCGACGTGAACAAATCGGCAGCGGGCCCTTGCAGCAGCGAAGGCCGGTTCTTGGCCTGTGAGGAAGAGCATAGCCCAGCAGGTCAACTAAAGTAGGTGTTACAGTCTGCCTGGCCCCTGCGAGGCCACATCTGAAACATCACGGCCAGTCTGGGGGGACCCTCCACGTGAGCGAAATGTAAAGAAACTAGGCAGGGGCCACTACGAGGCTGGAAGCCACGATGTACGAGGAGAGGCTGTGGGAACTGGGCTTGTTCAGCCAGGAGACGAGAAGGCAAAGTGGGATCCAACGGCATCTTCCACCGCTAAAGCAGTTAGAGAAGACATAGCCAGATTTTGCTCAGAAGTGCACAGCGAATGTGCAAGTTGCAAGAGCCCAAGCTGCGACAAAGGACATTCCGGTTGGATTAGGAAAAGATGTTTCCCTGTGTGGATGCAATCTCCGTCTTTGGAGATATTAAAACTTGGATTGGACAAGGCCCTGGGCAACCTGCTTTCATTTGACTTTGTTTTGGGTGGAGAGTTGGACCAAGACTTGCGGAGGTTCCTTTCAGCCTAAATGGTTCTGTGATTTTGTTTTTTACCATGAAAGCAGTGCAAACCGAAACTGTGTCTAGATGCTTGGCGTTCTGCATATGTATGGCTTGAAACATTAAACTGCTTTGCATGATGCCTCACTCTGTTTCCTCTGCAGCCATCATTTAAGTAACTTTGCGGAATTCAGTTCGTCTGTTAATGAAACGAGTAGTAGAATATAAAGACACATAAGCTCGGAAAACTGCTTGCAGATAACTTCAGAGGCAGCAGCACAGATGGGCTGCTGAAGCCAGTAATTCCAGCTGTGTCTGCACGAATCAAAGGTTCTTATGAAGACGCAGCTTTTGTAACTTTTCCACCACTGTGACTTCCAGGATGAAATTTCTCTCTGCTGGTATACCTGCACTTAAGTTAGCATTTGTGCCATTACAGTTAGACCAGACAGGATGACAAAGTTTTTTGTTTTGTTTACTTTCTTGTCTTCAAACAAAGAAACGTGTGTTTCTTTGTTCCAGTCAAATGTTTTAGCAAACCTTGTAGGCTTATAAAGCATATAGGAAATGTTACTTGTATGTGTACGCTTTCATGTTTAACAGTATAATCATGACGTATTGCCTTTGTTTCTGCATCCTGTGGAGTTCATAACCTTAGGTGGAAGTATGAGCGAGTTCCGCATACACCACGATGTCAATGAGTTGTTAAGCCTGCTACGTGTTCATGGAGGCGAAGGAGCCGAAGTATACATAGATCTTCTGCAGAAGAATCGAACACCTTATGTTACCACAACTGTCTCCACACACAGTGCTAAGGTGAGTGCTACTGTACTGTAATCATAGTTTAGATGTGTTTCAGATCTAATGGGAAAGCTGGTAGGACTCCTGAAGCACCTTGCTTCCTTTGCAATTGTTGATAGAAATTCCATTGGCTCTCAGAGCACAATCATCTCTAAAGAGGAGTTAAAGCTAAACATTCCTCAGTGTGATTTCTCTTGGCTAGTGATGTGAACTACCTTTTGCATACTCTTTACAAGTGCTGAGATAACTTATTTCGTGCCCTCTTTTATGAGATAACTTGTCTTCTGCAAGTATAGAGCTGGGCACATGTCGGGGGTAACAGTTGACTTTGAATTTTTTCTGAGAATGATGGTGAAGTCCTGTTGACATTGGTAGGAAAGGGATAATCGGATCTGGAGCCTCAATCTTGCGTATAAAGTAAAAGCATTATCTCAGGAAGAAGGTACATTCCTTGACTCTTAGAAAGACTGGTAGAAGAACGTGAGGAAGATTGTTAAAACTGCAGGAAAAAGCTAAAACAAAAGCCTTATATTGTGACTACAAGAGTTGTTTCAAGTTTTAATCAGAAGGGCCAAGGTTTAGAGAAGAATAAAGCAAATGAAAAACAGAAGATATGTATGAAATAATATGGTGTGACCAATACCTGACTTTTTTTCTGAATATCACCTAGTTTTAGGGATTTGAAGCCTAAAACTTGCCACGACCAAGAATACTTCTGGGGTCATAAGACTGCTTTTCATTGTCATCTTGAAAGTCAGTTCATCAGTCAAGTTGTAAACAACAGAAAGTCTGAAAGTTCAGATGTTTGTAGCCTGGACTGCATGTTTTCCCTAGCTCCAGTCTTATGTATCATTTATGCTGACAGCTACAGATCATAACATTGTAAAAAGATTTAGGCCGGAGGCACACCTGGAGGTCTCCAGTCCAATCCGTGCTCACAGCAAGGCCAAAGGAACAGCTACATCAGGCTGCTCAGTTAAGTTTTGAATATCTCCAAGAGGTTCCTTGATCTCTCTGGGCCCTGTTCCGTGGCAGCACTGCTCACATGGGGAAGGACTGTTTCCTTAGAGCCAGCTGGGATTTCCCGTGTTGCAACTTGTGCTGGTGCTTTTGCTGTACCCCTCTGAGCAGAGCGGGCCCTGTCATCTCTGTAACCCCTTGGGCAGTGGAAGATGCAGTAGCATCCCCCTTCACCTTCTCATGTCCCAGCTGAACCAGCCCAGCTCCTACAACCCTCTCCTTGTATGCCCTGGCCTCCAGCCCCACCATTGCTGTGGCTCCGCACTGGACTCACTCCAGTTCGTGGATGTCTCTCTTGTAGTGAGGGCCCCAAACTGGATCCAGATGTGGCCTCAGCCATGCCAAATAGAGGGGAATAATCCCTTAATAATGTTGCTGATGGGAAGTTATATTGCTTCAAACTGAGCAGGTACAAAGTGCGTCCTGCTCCAGCTCTTGTTTCAGTTTCTTCCTCTTTTCTCTCCTGCAATTCCTTGTCCACAACTGAAGTGCTAGGACCCCCCATTATACCTCCTCCACCAGCGTAATTATTAGTGGGAGACAAGTGCTGCATCATTCAGTCCAAAACCTATTTCCAGAAGTATTTTGGCAGCAGCAGCCTGCAAGTTGTCACCTTCTTTGCACAGTGCTCCTCTCCTGAATGATGTGGTAATAATAGTATATTAAACATTTAATATTAACCTGGTGTCTTATAGGTAAAAATAGCAGAATTTTCTCGAACTCCTGAAGATTTTTTAAAGAAGTACGATGAGCTGAAGTCTAAAAATACAAGACATCTAGATTCCTTGGTATATCTACTGTCAAAGCTCACAGAAGACAAAGAGGTTTGTTTCTGGATTAGAAATGAATCTGTTCTAGATATTCAGTAGTAGCAATAATGCAGTGACTTTAAGTACGGCACATTTTATGATGACAGCGTTCAGTGAAACACGTTGAAATCAACAGAAGACAACCAGTTATAATTAAAACACTAGTGCGAATTATATGGCTGAGGTTGTACTAAGACGTTCTTTTTAATCCTTTGGTTTCAGCTTCTTGTGAGGTTGGGAGGGGAAATCTGCATAGGAGATGAATTTGCAGATACTTTGGCTTATGTAAGGGTGAAAAAACATGGAACTAGCACCAAGGAAATAGCTTGAGATGAATTTTTAAGTAATGTGACAAAGTTCAGGTTGTTTAAACCTGGCGTTTATATGTTTTACATACTTAGACGTATGTAGCATTCTGAGGAAACAAAAATCATGAAACCATGTTAATTTACAATGGTGCCTTCTTCGTGTTTCCAGTTGTTAAAACCAACTCACAAAGTACTTGAATATTAAAAGTGAAGGGAAAAGTACAGCCATAACCTCAAGAGGAGCTGAAAGAGAGGGGAGAACCTTTAACCTCTAACAGTATAGCTGCTTTTGCTACATTTTATGTCTGATTCAGTGTTGGGAAGGGTCTGCAGCACGTGCTCCTTTCTTGCCGAATTGAGAAGGGCTGTGGTCAGCCCAGTGGAAAGGTTAGATTTCGTTGATCCTGACACCGTCATAACCACGGGAATTTAAAAACTGTGGTGTGTGTGACCTGTAAGAAGTAACTTGCTCACTCCTTCAAGCACCATCACAATGGAACACATTTGATGGTACGTTGATTTGGGGTTTCTGTCTTCTTCCTTCTTCATTTCTAAAGAAAAAAAGGGATTTAAGTAAAAAACGTGCCTTGTCACTGCATATTTAATGCTCAAATCAATATTTAATGCCTTAAATCAAATTGGGAGTTAAGGTTGACCTGTGGATCGCCTTGCCCCAGGGCGCTGTTGCTTCTAAAATTTCATGTGGGTTCAGAAAAAACACCTGGACAAATTTGTGGTACAAAATTTGAAGGATGTTAACTGCAAAGAGAAGTCACTGAGCTATAGATTACTGGAAAGTAGAAAAGTATTCAGCAGAAGTAGTGTTTCACACTTCATCTGCTTTTATACTCCTCTCGATATAAGCCACTGTAGGATGCAGGAGACTGGAACAGAAAGACCTTGGGTCTGACTCAGTGTAACCATTCTCATGATCTTATGTCTTTTGCTTTAGTTTGTTCTGTGTTCTGTTCAGTGTTCACAAAATCTGTTCTTTTTCATGTATGCACAGACACTCCAGTACTTGCAACAGAATGCTAAAGAAAGGGCAGAACTTGCAGCAAATGCAGCAGTCAGTGGTAGCACAAATTTTTCCATTCCCTCATCTACTTCCAAGATATCCCTGCAGGAGCTTGAGGAGCTACGCAAGCAGCTAGGCAGCGTCACAGCCAGCTCCAGTGTACAGCAGGTACTGTCTCTTGTATAGCCTTGGGCACAAGATCTTTCTCTGCTGCTCGTGAATATAGCCGTGCTCTTAACTTTTATCCTCTTGTGCAATTATAAATGTTCTTATCTGCACAAATAATGTAAATCTAAGCTAACTCTCAGATTTGATATTTTTGAGTTATATTAAATCTTTGTCTATTCAAAATTGAAGTGACCTTTTCTATTTAGGTGAATTAAGGCAAGCCAAGTTTAGGCCACTGCGGTTCTAATTGGTGGGGGTTAATTAATTCCATTTTCCCCTTTCAAATGACTGCTTTAAGCTGCGCTGACATTTCCTCTTCTGCTTGTAGCTGTGCTTGCTCAGGAGTTCAGCAGTCGTCGTGGCTTGTCCTCATTCTCACTAGAATTTCTGCTCTCTGATACATGGTTAAAATGTGTCACGTAATCATTCTCTAAGTGAAGGCAACCATTCCCTCTGTTTAGCTGTTTACACAAACGTTCTTGAAACAAATGCTGCAAAATAATTCTAGTTAAAGTCAAGAAGGAGGAAAAAAGTCATCTAAAAGTTTAGGTAAAACCGAATCATTGCACAAAACAGATTTAGAAAACATTTTTTTCTTTATTTATTTCAGTATCAATGGGCAGGGAGGAGTGGAAAGGGATGAGTATTACTTAAATACAAGCTTCCATTTTTCTGTAGTCATTTGTATAAATAACCATACCTAGCTACCTTGGGTCATTTTGGCTGCAGAAGATAATAGGAGCAGTTGTCTGGACAGTTACATGGACACAGCTGAAAGAGTAATAGAGAGAGGGGGCTTAGAGGTCCATAACGAGCAACCGGACAATATGCACAAATACTTCCATTTAGAATTTTGAAACTTAACTTCATCCCAGAGGCTTGCTCCTGTTCCCCATTCTGATGACTGGTCAATAAAGTCTATCAAAGGACAGACCTCCAGGCTCCGAATGTGACTGACTGTCTCTGGAGATGTAGGCCTACTTGTGAATTCTCAGAAATCATGTGTTGGGGTCTTCTCAATCTGCAGTGTCTGTTGTAGCAGCTCTATATCCTCATTCAGTGGAGGCCTTTCTATCTCTGGACAGGTTCCATGCACTGTCCTGTCCAAGTTGGTGAGGTGTGTGTCTTACTCAGCTGCCCACCCTACAGAACTTTCTACCCTATCGGGCCACGTGGCAGCATTCACATTCATGATGTATCACATCAAACTTTGCTGTTGAGGTCTCCAGCTGCGGCTGTATATGGTTTATTGCCCATGCCAACTCCCCAGCAGATGTGTAGTTATGTTCAGTCTGCAGAGATCTTTCTGTCTCATTGGCTGAGCAGAACTAACACCTGTTAGGGAGTGGCCTTCCGTCCCTGGTAAGGACAGTAGATGAATCTGTCACCAAGCAGGAAGTTTGCTGGAGTGATCACATCACTTCAGGCCATGAATGGCTAGAGAAATGGATTCTCCATGTTCAGTGTTTTGAGACACAGAATCACAGAATAGTTGAGGTTAGAAGGCACCTCTGGAGATCATCTAGTCCAATCCCCCTGCTCAGGCTGCGTCCTCTAGAGCACATTGCCCAGGATTGCGTCCAGGCAGGTTTTGACTATCTGCAGGGAACGAGACTCCACCACCTCTCTGGGCAACCTGTTCCAATGCTCTGTCACCCTCCCAGGAAAGAAGTTTTTCCTCAAGTTCAGACGGAACCTCCTGTGTTCCAGTTTGTGCCCGTTGCCTCTTGTCCTGTCACTGGGCACCACGGAGAAGAGTCTGACCCCATCCTCTCTACACCCTCCCTTCAGATACTTGTACACGTTGATCAAATAACTTCTCAGTCTTCTCTTCTCCAGGCTGAACAGGCGCAGCTCTCTCAGCCTTTCTCCAGCCCTCTAATCATCTTGGTAGCCCTCCGCTGGACTCTCTCCAGGAGTGCCATGTCTCTCTTGTCCTGGGGAGCCCAGAACTGGACACAGGACTGCAG